GCCCCCCCCCCCAATAGAGGGTAGTCAGGGCACAATCCCTTCTCTTCCATATCTCCATCCTGTCAGAACTTGGGGCACACTTGCACACATACCTGGCATGTTTTCAAGCTGCCAGGGCCAGGATTCAAACCATGCAGTAGACCTTGTGGGATCTGGCTTCCCCGCCCTGGAGGTCAGTGAGCCAGCCCAGGATAGGCATTTTTGATAGGATCATGCTGTGTCATAATACTCCTGCCTCAACTTCCCTAAATTGCTGTGATTTGCAAGTACTTGCCACTATGCTGGCCCTTAGTTCGGACTATGGTCCTGTGGGATTCCTTTCTTTTTTTTTTTTTTGGAGAGGTTTTTCGCTATAGGGTGCGTGCGCTCGCCAGACAGACAGAGAGAGACAGAGAGACAGAAAGCGAGAAATCATCCCCCAGGGAGATGGCCACGCTGCAATCCCTTCTCCTCCATTCTCCTCTTGGGATCTTGGGCATGCACGTACACGCATCCAGCGTGAGTTTAAGCTGCTGGGTCCGGGACTTGAACTGCGGTCGACTACATGGGAGTCCAGCGACATAGCCATTATGCTAACTGCTGGTCCCAGGAGTCCTTTCTAATGTAACATATTAGAAAAAACAAATTTATATAGGTGGTTCATTGAAAGCAAGGGAGAACTGTCTCAAAGGTTCTGTTTTTAAGCTCCAGTTTCTACCTAATGGTAAATTTAAGTTTTTTCATGATATCATATTAAAGAGTCTTCTAATATATTATCAGTATAATCAAGTTTGGTATATTTATGTAAAATGTGTTTCATTTAATTGCATAACATCTATGTTATTCATAAAATTAGGGAATGAGACTTTGAAACCCCTCCTTCTATATCCCCAATTCCCAGCAGTCTGGGAACCATTTTTCACATAAGCCGTGCCCTCTTCTCACACCATGCAATATTCTAAGGAAACTGAATCCTATTCACGAAATTACCCTCCTCAAGGAATTAATAGATAGCACAGAACCCAAAAGGGAAGCAGTATTTCTTTCAGTGCACAGAAAAGAAATCACACTCAATTAGAAGTCCATCCTTTTCAGCATCTCTTGCCTTTTGTTTTGTTCATTTGATTAAAGAGCTATTCTAACTAGATCTGATTTACTACTCTGTTTTTCCTCCTAGTGTTTGGCAATGATAATATTGTGGGAACTCATGGGAAAATTGCCTCTCCCTTCTGGCCTAGAAAGTATCCCCATAACTCCAATTACCAGTGGATAGTAAATGTGAATGTATCTCAAGTTATTCATGGTAGCATCTTGGAGATGGACATTGAAAACACACATAACTGCTATTATGACAAACTAAGGGTGAGTTTCCATATGCAATTCGTATTTATAAATTGGAGTGAATCAATATTGGCAAAAATAAATCCAAGTTAGTGTCTGTTCGAGCATTTGCAAATCACATGAGAATGTGACATTGTGATTGCGTCATCTAGATTATCTTCACAAAAGTAATTCTCATATAATATTTATTAGTTTCTATTCTTTATTTAAGGTTTTCTTTTTTTTTTCAGCATTATTGTAATTTACCACTAGAGCTTTGTGTAAGCATGAATGTAGGTCTTAAATATGTATTCTACTTTATATGCCTTTATCAGATCTTTTTCTTATGTCAGAGCATAAAAAATTTGAAGGATCATGTAAAAATAAATGAATATAAATATAAGAATTATAGTGACCAATGTCATCCAGACATTGGTTATTCTGTCAATTCCAGAAACACTATTGGATGTTTTATTTTATTTAATTTTTGCTACAGGGTGCATGCGCTCACCTGAGAGATAGAGATAGAGAGAGAAAGAGAGAGAGAGAGAAAATGAGAAATCACCCTCCAGAAGAAATGGCCACAAGACAATCCCTTAATCCTCCATTCTCTTCTCAGGATTTTGGGCATGCACACACATGTGCCCGGTGTGTTTCTCAAACCTCTAGGTCTGGACTCAAACAGCACAGCTGGCCATGTGGGATCCAACATTTTAACCTTCCCATGCCGCCTACTGGCCCAGCTATTGGATTCTTGAAGGCCATGATCCTATTTTATTCATCTTGGATACTCAGTGCCTTGAGTAGAATCCAGTATCTGATAGATGCTCAATAGTATGGGAACAATTGTTACACAGTTTGAAAAATTGAGATTCAGTAGAGAACTGTATAATGACTGTTACAATAAATTTATTACAAAATTATTTAGAAACTATCACAAAATATGTCTTTAAATAGGTAATTTAGTATCTTAGTCCAAACAAAAGAGATTGAGTGCTTTGTGCTGAGCCCGGCAGGCTGTGATTCTTTTGTTGTCATTAGCCCACTTTTTCTTATTAAACCTTTCTTCTTTATTGTTGCTTCCCCCTTTTCTTCCTAATTCCTCCTTTTGGGACCTCAAAGCATATTTATTGAGTACTTTGGTTACACAACTGTCCCAGTTCTTACTCTTCTACTCACAAATCTTCCTGTAATTCATTTAATGAGCTATCTCCCACAGAACATGTTTATTAATATAACTCTGCAATAAAGATATAAATATTTTCAGGGACCAGCAGTTAGTGTAATGGCTATGTCGCTAGACTCCCACGTAGTCGACCGCGGTTCGTATCCCAGACCCGGTGGCTTAAACTCACGCATGGCGCATGTGCGTGTGTGCCCAAGATCCCAAGAGGAGAAAGGAGGAGAAGGGATTGCGGTGTGGCCATCTCCCCTGGGGGGTGATTTCTCGCTTTCTGTCTCTCTGTCTCTCTCTGTCTTCTTGGCGAGAGCACGTGCCCTATAGCAAAAACCTCTCAAAAAAAAAGAGATATAAATATTTTCAAATCAAGTTATTTGCAATAATATTTTTAAGAGGTTTTATTGCCTTAGGACATGTGCACTCACTGGAGAGAGAGAGAGAGAGAGAGAGAGAGAGACGCTAAGAGGGAGAGTGAGAAATCACCCCCAGTGGTGAGATGCCTTCTCCTGCACTCTTCTTCTAGGATCTTGGACATGCATGCACACGTGTCAGACGTGTTTCAAGCCACTGGGTCTGGGACTTGAACCATAGTTGATCATGTGGGAGTCCAGCGATGTAACTGCTATGACATCTGCTGGTCTCAATTATATTTAATTTGTAATGGCACTCTCTATTTTTAACTGAAGTAAAATGTTTACTCATTTATTGTTTTCTTCCATTAAGATGAAACAATGACACTATAAGGCATTTTTTAAACTATTTTTATAGAAGCAATTTTGAAAATGGAAATAGTTGACTAAAGACAATGCTCTGTTATCTGTGTTTTTACACGCAGATTTATGATGGACTTGGCACTCATTCCCGCCTAATTGGAACTTACTGTGGTACCCAGACAGAGTCTTTTACCTCCACTAGAAATTCTTTGACATTTCAGTTTGCTTCTGACTCTTCAGTCTCAGGGAAGGGATTCCTCCTGGAATGGTTTGCAACGGACATTCAAAAGCTGGACCTTTACCTACCATTGCTGCAGGTATGTTTATTAATGAATGAAATTCCTTACAGGAATGATATGTATATGATAATATTTCAAAGAATCCTATCAAAACAGGAGTCAAAGACATAAATAAGAATGGCTCCAAAGCTCTTCCTCCATATACTCTTTTAAATTCATAAACACTGCATTTTTAAACATCATGCATTTATTTCTAAAATGTGCAGGTTTCCCATTATATTTCTCTTATTCGTGGTTTGATATGCATAGTCTCCTTATAGTTTCTAGAGAGTACTTTAAGGATCTCTAAAAAATTGATTTGAAAACACATACGCACACGCAAGTTAAGGAACCACTAATAGACAACAGTAGCTGTTTCTGTTCTATATTTTATTTTCAATGTATCTTTAGAAATGCTTTACTTTCTCTTTATCTAGTTGTAAATTTTCAAGGTAAAATTAGCCGATTTTTTTAAGCTTTTATTTTACTATTTTAAAGATAGTCTTATTTCTTTAGTAAAAGTAAAATTGAGTTAGCTTTATCTATTTGTAAATTGTCAAGGTAAAATTAGCCGTTTTTTTAAGCTTTTATTTTACTATTTTAAAGATAGTCTTATTTCTTTAGTAAAAGTAAAATTGAGTTAGGGAGATACTGTGCTTTTTAAAAAAAGAATTATTTAATTTAATTTATTATTATTATTGTGATTTAAATTTCCTATAGGGCACATGGACTCATCAGAGACAGAGAAAGAGAGAGAGATAAAGTGAGAAAACAAGCCCTGAGATCTGGACTCGAACCACGATCAGCCATGTGGATGTCCAGTGCCACCTGCTGGCCCCGATACTGTGTTATTTCCTTGGCAATTGTTCACATAAACTAGAATATTCTTATGAATTTGAGTTGACATAGAAGGAAGTTGAAAGACATTTTTATTTTTTTTGAGAGGTTTTAGCTATAGGGCGTGTGCACTTGCCAGAAAGACAGAGAGAGAGAGAGAGAGAGAGAGAGAGAGACAAAAAGCGAGAAATCACTTCC